AAATGAATCATATTTTCATAATAATAATAATAATAATAATAATAATAATAATAATAATATAAATTATCTTTCTTCAACAAATTTATTATTAAATAAAGATGATGAAAATTCAATTAAATCTTTCAGATCTTTAACTAATAACAACAACAATATTCCTTCTTTGCCTCATTTTAATTCGTTAAATAATTACATGTCAGAAAGTACTGCTAACAATAATGGTAATAGTAATAATAATCTTAACCCTGATCTTAACGAATAACCCTTCTGAATTAGATTTAAATCAGTAAGCTTGAAAATTTTCTTAAAACCAATAATAATAACCTATTTAAGTAATTCTAAGTTAAATTCTTTTTTTAATTCAATATTTAATATACGAAATTAGTATTATATGACTTGATTTTTTTTTTTTAATGTAATTTAATCAAATAAAAACAATATAAATAACAATTAAATTAAAAATTATGGGAAGAAATTTATCATGATTAATTAATTGTATGTTATGTAATTTCACGTATAATCTTACTTTTTTCCTTTATTTTCCTCAGCCAGTGTATAAAATTCAGTGTGGGGAATACATTAGTAGTTTTTTGCAGATAGTTTCTAAATTTGTAGAAATCTGCATTGGTTACACCCATAAATTTATCAGCACTCTTTAAATTTGCCTGTATTTTCCGGCAAATATTTTCCGAAATTTTCACGAGAAACTTTTGTGCGCTACATTATTGACACTATTTTTACACCCGCACTTGCCATCCCTTTTTTTTAATTCATTAACTCCTTTTTTAAAATATTTTTATTCACGCTTATTCGTTTCAAATTATAGAACAATTATCATGGTGATGATTATGAATTAATAATCATAATCGTCATATGTGAAAAGAATTCATTCATATTTGCTGTTCACCATGTGACAAAAATTTCAGAGAGTCAAATTTAAAAACCTGAATGAAATCCAGAGTTGTTATGGAATAAGCTATAACAGCACTATAGATGGGCGTCTAAATTTTTTTGGGGGTTGTCTAAAGTCAAAATATACAGTGAGTCTCGATTTAACGGACCTCGATTTAGCGGATTTAGGGTTTAACGGATAAATTTTCAAAACCAAATTTTTCTATAATATATATATTCGATTTAGCGGATATTTTTTAAAAGTCAATATATGTGACAAAAATTTCAGAGAGTCAAATTTAAAAACCTGAATGAAATCCAGAGTTGTTATGGAATAAGCTATAACAGCACTATAGATGGGCGTCTAAATTTTTTTGGGGGTTGTCTAAAGTCAAAATATACAGTGAGTCTCGATTTAACGGACCTCGATTTAGCGGATTTAGGGTTTAACGGATAAATTTTCAAAACCAAATTTTTCTATAATATATATATTCGATTTAGCGGATATTTTTTAAAAGTCAATATATGTCACTTATAATAAAATTCTCTCGATATTAGGGATGGGGCGGTTCCACTAGGAACCGGTTCTGAACCGAACCGAACACAGAACCGCGAACCCGAGTTCTAACCGTTCCCCATGTGATTTATACCTATATGAGGAAATCCTGAGTTAATCTTTCCTTAAAAGGAAAGATTAATACGAATAACGTGACTTATTAATATTCAAATAAATTAAACAAATTAAATATTATTATTATTATTATTATTATGTAAATAACGAATAAACGGACAAACAAATGAATGAATATGATAGATATTAATATACAAATAAAAAGTGCATAAAATAAAACAAACATTAATAATATTAAAGGATTTTTTATTAGTAATTAGTATAGAGTTACAAAAAAATAAAAATAAACATAAAGAAAGTATAAGGAAAAAAATATGTAATTTTGAGAATATTATTCTAACACTCTAAACCCCTACTTTATTGATTATCCAACTCTTCATACACAAATATGCTCTTGCAGTTTCTGGCAATAAGCAATTTCGCACCTTACTGATTGTATTTCCAGCAACTGAGAAAGCACATTCTGATGGAACACTGGTTGCTTGTATTGTAAGATAATCATGTGCCATTAAGATAATTTCAAAAATCTTTTTTTACAATTTGCCAAAAGACCATTTTTTACAATTCAAAAAAACTTTTTACAATTCATGCCAAAAGTCTATTTTTTTATTTAAATGATCTGTTAAGATAATTTCAAAAATCTTTTTTTACAATTCGCCAAAAGACCATTTTTTACAATTCAAAAAAGTATATTTTTTATAATTTAAATAATTTATTAGGATAATGTCAAAAGTCTTTTTTTACAATTCATGCCAAAAGTTTATTTTTACAATTTAAATGATCTGTTAAGATAATGTCAAAAGTCATTTTTTTTTACAATTTGCCAAAAGACCATTTTTTACAATTCAAAAAATCTTTTTGTAATTCACGCCAAAAGTCTATTTTTTACAATTTAAATGTCAAAAGTCTTTTTTTACAATTTGCCAAAAGACCATTTTTTACAATTCACATCATAAGTCTATTTTTTAGAATTCTTTTTACAATTTGCCAAAAGTCCATTTTTTAAAATTTAAAATGATTTATGTCAAAAGCCTTTTTGCAATTTGCCAAAGGTCCATTTTTT